CAGAAAAATCAGAGGGAAAAGTGGCCAACCTTAGTAAACCTGGAAGTTGCCATTAAAAGGAGAAGAAAATGTATGTAACAATGCAAATCGCTCCATTTGAACCAATTTTTCAAAACGACTAACTCAATATTTTAGCCATAAAAATATTGCCTAAGCCTCGAAATTTCGCTAATAGATGTCTAAACCTTTATGCCATGCCATCTATGAGCAAAATCGTCAGGCTTGCGTAATATTTTCTGGATAAAATAAGTTAGCCATTTTTAAAATAGACCATAATGGAACGATTTTGCAATATTCAATGTATGCATCAAAAATTAAAAAGATTAGTATATGAATATAAAATTAGGTATGATATCGGATCGATAATCGGCCGATATCAAATTAATATTGGCAATATCGTATCGAACCGGCCCATAAAAGTGGTATCGGTACACCCCTATATATCATCAGTTAAACAAATGTAAAATATCATTTTTTATATTTTATATATAATATAACAAACCGGTTTTGTTCATAATGTCAACGCATATATCATTTTGATCGCCCAAATGGCCCTGAAATAGGGAAGGCTTAAAACGTCTTTCTTCGTAACTGATATGTACAACCTGATGTATTGATTAATTAAATTATAGAATAAATTATTTAGTTTTTTTTTAAAAAATAATCTATATGGCTGGGGCATAAATTTTTTAAAATAATTTTCATATTTTATATTTTTTATATCATCAGGAAAATGACTAAATACAATAGATCTAACATCGGATAGGCTTGATATTCGTTAGGAAATTCTGATGATGATAATAATAATGCAATCTCAAATGATTAAAATTTAAAACCAGATGTAAGATCTAATTAATAATGTTTTGCAAAGAATTGGAAAGCATTGTCTCAAACTATGAATCGAATGGATCTCGTATTTGTATTAATTTTTCTATCAAAATTTAAGGATAGTTGAAATGTTATCTTTGCAAAATGAATGTATATTAAACTTGATATTACTTTTTAGATGTAAAATAGAAATGAATTTAATAGTAAAAGATAATGATAGCTTGAAAATTATTTCAACAAGAAAAATACGTTTAAAAATACTTGCGTTGCGATTTCCTGCTTGGAATCTACGAGTAATATTAAAGTATTTTAAAACAATTTAATTTTTATCTCATAAATTATCTAGTTGTTGGCTTCTCTTCTAGACCCAAGATTTCAAAAATTAAAAATGTGCCAAAATATATAATAGGGCAGATTGCATATCGTCTGAATTTATTATTAAATATCTTACAGTTATAGAGTATGATATTAGATTACTAAATATCAAATACAAATTATTTGACAAGGTAAGCAAGTAAACACTCTATAACAAGCATAAATTCTGATTCTACTATAAATGACTTAAAATGAAAATGCCATATTCTTCTGGAAAAAAAGAATCGATTACGAATTCTTTTGTGGTAACTAGAACACCTAGAAAAGGGTTTTCTCTCCATTGTAATTGAATTTAAGATCATTTATATATTTGGCAAATTTAAATAAAAATTTTATAAATGATAATTATAAAATTACAAATTGTGCATGAATTTAATTATTTTCCATTTCAATAAAGATCAAAAAGGTGGCAATAAATCTGTAGTGTATATTTTATTTTAAATTTAGTTTTTAATTAAAAAATTCATTTAGAGATTAAAAAAATATATTATAAAGTATTCATGTCGATGCGCCGATTATCTCGCCTATGTTGACGACCGCTACAAAGAGGCGCGCCACCGGGCACCAATTAGATTTGTAAAACTCGCGCGGCCGCTGATAGTTCGTCGGCGCACAGGTCTGATTATAGGCTATTCAGGAAAATAAAGGTATTATGTTTAAATTATTCCTAAAATATATTTGAAGATATCAATTTATAAGTCAAGATTAGATTTAGTTATTAATATTGCCCAGTTTGACCTTATTAATTTGACCCAGCATGGAATAATAAAAATTTTAATGATTTTACGACCCAGCACTTTAAAAAATTTCCTTATTTCAAATAATTTTGGGTAAATTATTTTTCGAAATTGAAAATATGTAAACGGATGTTTATTAATTCTTATACGATTTTCCAACTGGTTAATTTTTATTATTTTTTAAAAATCGGACTATCTCGGGCTTTGTAATCTTCTTATTTTTATGGCCGGCTCAAGTTTGCAATTTTGTATTTATAAACTATGTCGTTAGGTGTCAGGTATTGAGATTCCACCATGAAATGTATTATAAGGTTAAAAAAAGAAGAGATAATTAGAATTTTTTGGCCAAAAAAACCTTCTATATTAAAAACTGACAAGTATGAGGTAAAGATAACCTTTGATGTGTTAGTGGGTCTGACAGCCATGCTATTTCTCCAACCCATATGCATAACATCCCCTATATGACACTCTCGCGTTCCACTCCCAAAGAGACTCGGAAAATCACTATCGTTTGTCAACAAAAAATGATCTCGACCAGTTTCATTAACATCTTCGACCTGTATAATTTCTTCGACCTTCTCCCCTTCTGACATGTCAGAACACTCCTCAACTAAAATAGCATGCCCATTATGATACACCAAACCAGTATGAGTTTCAGTTACTATATCCGATTCGTAAACCGATTCCACAGGTATTTTGTGATTCGGATCTGAGATGGATTCAGTCGTTGGTGTCGGTTTTCGCACGGCCAAATTTTGTAAGGCCCTTAAAATGTCGGGTGAAGGTGGTAGGCCAGAATAAAAGGTGGAAGAAGAAGGCGTATCTAAACAGCTGTTGCCATAATATTGGTGATCCGTGGCCGGTGATTGCATAGGGTACATTAGATGGATGGAATAAGAATTTTACCGTTATCGGATATAATAAGAGATAAATTTGTGAAGTTAAATTAGAGTATATGTTCTGAGCTTGAATTGTGTGATCTTTTTTATATAGTTAGTCACTATTTTTGCAAGTTATATATGAGTAATTAATAAGCTAAGGAAATTTAAGGAGCCACTTATTTATATGATTAACTCTTCTACCTTCAGAGTCCTAAAATTTAAAAAAATAATTAATTACATATAAATGAAAGTTTAAATTATCTGAATGATTGTCATTTTTCTCTTCAATAATTATTATTATTTATTACTATAGACTGGTCAGTCATTATTGATTTGGCAAAAATAAAGATTTTAAAAACCTTCCATCTTTGAATGGCCAAGAATTAAACATATATTATTTATACCTATGAATTTAACATTATTGTAGCATTATTGAAAAAATATTTTATTATAAGAATGGTTCATAATTGATTAATTTAAAAAATAAGTTTAGAAATATTAATAATATTTTATCACCTTTATCTAAAAATCGTTTGTAAAAAATTTTGTTGCAAAATAAAACATAAAACCCATTTTCATATTTTTTTTTTAGCTAAAAGATGTAAATCTAATTTATACAAATAATTTTTAGATAAAGATGCTATAAATTGTTATTAATCTTTCTAAATTTATTTTTAAAATAATCGAATAGTGGGCTCTAAAAGACTTTGTGATCATTTAAAGATAGAAGACTTTCTTTTACCTCATTCTTTTTGGCGTGTCAAGCACTATATATATAATAAAGGTATGAATATTACTATGGCAAAATTTGTGAATCAATTTATTGATTTAAATCGCGGTTGTAAGTAATAAGTTAATGCTTCCGGTGATCCGGTCAGGAAATTAATGAAAACATATATATTAATAAGTAATGAGAGATCAAAAATTTGATATGTGTAAACTGTATAAAAATAATTTAACTAGTCAATATCAATGAGTAGGAAAAAATCATTCATTTTCTAAAACGAACTGTTATTTCTCAATTGGATTCCCTGATGCATTCGCCAAATTAAAATATTAGTTATTAATATCCTTAATTTAAAATAATCATGATTATTAGGTATGTGGCATTTTTAGTATGCCGTCACAATTAATATATTTAAAACTTTGGCTCTCCTCCATTTTTCTGATAGCGGCTTGTTTTTAAATTATTTTATAAATATAGTTTAATTAACATTTTTTCTGAGGATACCAATCAAATAAAGAATCTAATCATTTTAAAATGTTTGGTTATTACTAATGCTGTAAACATTTCTAAAAAAATCGAACGTGTTCACGTTCGTTCAAAAAAAAGGAACGCGTTCACGTTCATAAAACCGTTCAAAATTTTATGATAAATTTTTTTAAATTTAATTTAATATAAATAAACTTATATTTTTTAATACAATATATTTTCATGTTAAAAAATAATATAGTTTTATTTTGATAATATAATTATAAATAAAATGAATATAATATAATATAATATAGCGAATAAAAAGATATTTTTATTTATAAAAAAATTTTCTTATTAAATTATAATTAGTGAAGGTCAACGGTCCGGTCCTATCGGTCTTAGACCGGGATCGGACCGGACCGATTGTTGGACCGATCTTTTTCTTGAGGACCGTGGTCCGGACCGGTCTTTTTATTTTTTACGATCCAGACCGCGGTCCGAACCGGTCTTTTATTATTGTTTAAGTTTGCTTTACTATACAATTAATATAATTTTTTTGTATATTTTATTTTATGATATTTTTCTAGAGGAGTCATTTTAGATTTTGTTAATTTTTATTTTACAATATGAAAACCATAAGTTTGTCCAAGAAACATTTTACTTATAGTCCCAATAAAAACATAGAGTATGTGTTCATTGCAGTACCAAATTTAATGTATCGTCAGCACCTAGTAACAAAATAATTGTTTATAATTTTTTAAGCAATAAATTAATCAAAATAAGCAATAATATTATTAAAATATTTTAGTTATTATCTAGTTCTATTTTTTTTAAAGAAACTGTCTGTATAATTTATTGTAAAAATTACTTAACCTTTTAAATATAAGAGTATTATATAAACAATAAAATTTATCCAATGGTATTGAAGAAAATGATTTTGTGCTTGTAGAGGGCATATAAAAATTAAGAGTAGATTGTGTTTTTTGAGATATTTTCATTTTCATCATTAGAAGTATATATTTTATGTTTTATCAGATGTCTGCTTAAGGTACCTAATTATTTTATTAATAAAATGATAAAACAAATCAAATTAGGTTAAAAAATATGTTTTTTAAACAAATAAAAAGACCGATCCAGGACCGGTCTTTTTATTTAGGACCACTCTGGATCGATTTTTTTCTTAAGGACCGTGGTCCGGTCCGAGGGTATCGGTCCAGTCCGGACCAAAGACCGGACCGTGACCTTCACTAATTATAATAACAACTGTTTTCAAAATATTTATCTGACAGACAGGAACACTTGGCAGTTAATACGGCATTAGCCTAAAAACACGCTCTACAGGGGAAGATGAGGGGATTGCGGTATTATACTTAATAAACAACTCTTTTAACGTGGAGAATTAATTAAAAACATATTGTTTTGTTATTTGCAAAAAATTGAGATAAGTTATCTTCTTCCAATCCATTCTCTACTCTCGACATAAAAAAGGATATCTCGAAATTAACAATTCTCTAGGGTTTTCAAAGCATTTCAAAAACGCTATAAGTTTTCTTAATAGGTTCGTTCTGTGGAAGTTATATCCATGACCATTGAAGTTTGAATGCTGGATGTATAATTGCAGAAAGAACATATTGATCCTTATATATATGTTCAAATCTTTAAAAAAATAAAATATATGTAATTAATTGAGAGTAATAAGTTTAATACCTTTTATTCCCATTTAATACGGCGTCTATCAATGGTTGACCATATTTGAGGCCACTAATTTTTTTAATTTTAAAATAACTATCGTTATTGTTGGGGTCAAATATCCCAAATGCATTATTTCTTCAAATTTAATGATTTAACTTAATTATATCATATAAAATCAAATAATTAATATTAAAATAAAATAAAATGTCGTTTTAAATTGGAACCTGAAGATTTTGACAATATAATACTTTTTGGCAATATTTTACACTTCGTAAGCATTGGATTAGTTCCTTCAATATAGAATGTTAATGTAAAACATTTATCATATTTGGCCATAGTAATGCTAATTCATCTGATTTTGGATTTTCAGAATCAGATGATGAGGATTAAATAATAATATCCATGCTTATGCAAATCTATTAAATTAAAATATAAACAATAATATTCAAATTAATAAACTATGTGTTAAAAAAATTGAAATATGAAAAGGAAATACACAGCCAATTAAAAAATATAAATAATACATTTTTTTAAAAAAATCGGAAATATTAAATTTTTCAAATAAATAAAAAATAAAAATATTTTTAAAATTGAACGAACGTAAAATTCGAACGCGTTCGTCATAAAAAAGGAACGCGTTCACGTTCTTCGTCAAAAATAAAAGGAACGTCGTTCATCATTTTTTCAAAAAAAACGAACTTCTTACAACACTAGTTATCTATTACTATAAAAAATTTTTAAAAAAAATAGATTAGTTTATTATTTAATTATTATTATATGGTTGTTTTTATAACCCGCCATCCTGAAAATAACATTATTATAATTTACAATCATGGTAAAATTCCAAGATACATCTGATCTGTTAAATAAAATTATGCTTTCGGGTAAAATAATAAAAAAAGAGTGATGGTTAGCCGGACCATTTAATTCATAGTAAAACAATCAACAACTTCAGTAGAGTATTTTAATCATATTAAGTGATTCCAAACTTAGGAATGGTTTAAAAAACTTGCTTTTAAACGATTAAATTCAAATATCAATATCGAGTGCATGAAAAGTTGCAATGCACTGTCAAAGATAAGCATAAAAAATCGATTTTTCATTTTAACATCTAGAATATCATAATTCTCTAATAAAATTTTTAAAAAAAAATAGAATATTATTTTTTAAATGTGCATTATTCTAATTATAATGGTAAAATTATTTTTTTGGTAATGCCAAATATAGTAAAATGAATTTTAAAAAAACTAATGTTTCAAGTCTTTATTTTTCTAGACTGCAAAGCCAGGACAGGGTCCAGATTCCACTGAACCAAAATATATTTAAAAGGGGGGGGGGGTTCACAGCCCTGAATTTAACAAATTTATTTCTTTTAGAATATTAAATAATTTCTCACTACATTGAGATTAGAATTATGTAATTAGCAATTAATAATGTCAAAAATTGAAACAATAAAATACAAAATAATCGAGTATTTTTTATATCTAATAGGTAGTGTTGTTAAACGGCTCATTTTGAGCCTATTTTATAAAACGGCTAACTCAATATTTTAGCCAGAAAAAAATTGCCTAAACCTCGATAATTTGATAATATATGTCTAGACCTTTATTCCCTCTATGAGCAAAATCTTCAGGCTTGCGTAATACTTTTCTGGATGAAATATGAATTAGCCCTTTTTAAAAATCGGCTCAAAACGAGCGGTTTAACAACACTACTAATAAGTAATGATTAGTAGTACAATTTAGTATTTTTCATATAAAAATTATTTATTCTAAAATAATCAAAGTCTTTGTCTTTCCTTATTAAGTATTTTGATCAAATTTAAGAAATAGAATTTTATTAAAAATATTAATTTAAATCAAATTATTTTTATTGGTTTTCTCTCATAATTTAAAACACAATAAAAATATTATGGATTTTGGGAGTTAAATATGAATATTAAAATAGTTAGATATCAGTAGTATCAAAATTTAAAATAAATGAAACTTTAAATTTTATTTTATAAGAGCTAGTGCTAGATTTTCCTGCAGGCCAGCTGTAACTTCGCCCATAAAATATAGATCTGGCCCGTTCCTTGAAAAATAAGAATTTATATTTCCATTCTATTCTTTATTTTTTGCCAATTTTAATATAAAAAAATAGAAAGGTTTTTTAAAAAAAAATTAGATGGGAAATATTCACTAATCATATTTTGTAATAAATGGAATAAAATAGATAAATACTATTAAATTATCAAAGTTTGCGCTTAATACTTAAATTTATTGCATAACATTAATATATAGAATATAATAAATATTTTGAGTTTTCTTCTCTATATGTGGTTTATAGTAATGTCGGGTAAGTGAAAAATTAGTTGCGTCTTAATTAATGAGATTTAGTGATAGTGGTGAAGAGGGCATTAAAACATAAAAATTCAATATGATATCAAATGAAAAGTAATTATAATATCTTTAAACAGTGTTAATAATAGGGCTGTGGCGATATTAAATATCGGATCGGATCGGCACCGATATTTAGCGTTTTCCAAAATATCGGATAGGGCCGATATCTGTAAAAATCCGATCCGATATATTTACTTTTCTTCTTTTTATTATTTTATTTATATTATTTTACATTAATAATATCTTCTAAATAATTTTTTTTTAAACAATGCAAATGCTCAAATTTTATTTATTTTTTAAAATAGATTCTTAGTATTTTAAAAGTTTTTTATAAAAATAAAAAGGAACACCCAAAGTTTTAATTATTTTAAATCTTTTTCAATAATAACGCCAATTTTATTATTTATACCATATAAATAAAAGAATTTTTTAAATGGTATCTGAATTATGGAAATATTTTACAAAAGACAGAGATAATTTTGCAAAATGCGTTAACTGCTAAATTCTAATTTCACGGGGAGGAATAATGAAAAATTCATTTAATACTATCAATATCCGTATACTTTTTTTAATTTGTAGAAATAAAAAAATTAATTAAATGCATAATTAAAATTTTTGCATAAAAATAATTGATTTCTTAAATACATTTGGCTCAAAGGGGGTAGTGAAAAATCAATACAAATATCGGATCGGGTTTGAGCCAATATCGGAAAATATCGGATCGGTGAAAAATATGTGGATCGGCACAGCCCTAGTTAATAATCACTAAGTAGTCAAATCTAGGTGTTGAGTGTCAAGAATTTTTAAAAATTTGACGGGTAATTTAAATCTCATTTTTCTAAATAATCACTTTAAGAGGTGGGCCTAGATCTTGGAGATTAGTAGGGCTATGCCGATCCACATATTTTCCCCCGATCTAATCCGTTGGAAATCCGATCTGATGGTTTAAAACATAACTAATCCTCTAAGAGCATCGGTCCAATAAAGTTGATAATTATCGACCAACATTGCAGTCAAAGTATATATTAATTAGCTTTTATTGGATGCGTATATTATATATTATATAATGTTCAAAATATTTTTTACATTTTGCCCAATTGAATAATTTTTCTCTATCACATATATATTTGATTTGAAAAAACAGGTCATATGCCATTAGCAGATAATAGGCAATACAAGGCTGCATAAAAGGTTATTCCTGATTCGAATATATACAATGTAAAATACCTCTATTTTTTTAAATAAAAACTGCAATTGTTTTATTCCTTTTAATTCATAATAAATTGTATTTTTTCAAATATGAATATCTAAATGACAATGGCAGCATTAAATAATTCTATATATATATATAATGAATTCCATATCAAATCAACAAAAAAAAGTCATTTTCAACCTGACCCCCTTCAATTTTTCTTAAATTTTGTATACTAATAGTATATACTATAACTAAGAAAAAAATGAAATTTTATTTTCCAACACTGTTTACCCGCTAAGATATGGCCGTTTGAATCGCGGAAAAATGGTACATCATTTATTTCCAAATATCTCGAGAAATAATTATGTTAGAAAAGTAATTTAAATTTTATTTTGTAGCTTAATAAAAGTTCTTTAAAATGACATAAAAATAAATATGGACAGATAACCTGTGTAAAACCGGAAATGGCCATAGGAAAAAAAAAGTATTTTTTTCAAAAAATTTTTTCTGTAGATTATATTTGTACAAAATCCTAGACTGGGATGAACATGGGTTTAGGAGTTATCACTCTTTATATGGTTAAAATTGAACAAATTTAACATTATTATCATCATATTTTTATTTAATGAATAGTTATGAAATAATGTTAATTTAAAAATTATGTCTAAATGATAGGCCCTTACTTTTTTTTTATCTTTATAAAAAAATTTGAGAGGTGGCTGGGATAATGAGCTGTTTAAAACTTTAGTTAAATTTTATCTCGAAATTGAAATTACTTGACAATAGCATAAAATAATCTACAAAAATTGAAAGAAAGGCTTAATATATTATTTGACGAGAATTCTATAGATTATAAAACATTCAAACAATGAAAACACTGACAAAATCCGTGACGAATCTGTAGATTATTTTATTGAATAGTTAAACAATTTAATTCCTCATTTGTTTATAGCTTCATGATAATCATTAATTCGAAACTTTTTAAAATTCAGTTTAAATGTTGGCGAATTCTTAGTTATTGCAGATCTTTCAGAAAACTATGCATTTATAGTGCAGAACCATGCATAAAGATTTAATCAGATCAATCAAGCCACTATCAACTCTTTTATAATTTATTACCGTGAGAACAACATAAAAAAACAATGTAAATTTAGTGTTATATCAGATTGTTTAAAACACAAAGCATGTGCATTTTATTTATTTTAAAAATTGATCGTATGCTTGAAGGAAAGATTTAATAGTGTTGCTAAAATTTATTATTTTTGTGATGGAGCAGTAACCAATATAAAAATAAAAAATTTCATTATTCTCTACAATCATGAAAATGATTTTGGAATAGGCTGAGTGACATTTTTTGAAACCGCACATGGTAAAAGTCCATGCGACATTTAGGGGCCTTTACTAAACGGTTAATAGCTCGAGCAAGCTTGCAACGTCCATATGAACATCACATATTGACAACAATAGATTTATTTAACTATGCAAGAAATAATATCAAAGGGTTAAATTATATATTTGTGAGCAATAATGAATATATGAACATAGAAAGTCATCTTGAAAGCAGATTTTTGAGAGCAAAGAGAATTTCTGGAACACAAAGTTCCAAGCTTTTATTCCTCTAGACGAAAACAAAAGTCATAATTTATTAAAATTCCTTGGATGTTTATAATATATGATATATTTTAATTATAAATTTTTGATTGTATTATATGTAATGCAATTTGAGGCAAATAAAGTTATAAATATGTTTAGAATTATTTTGTCAAGAAACTTCTAGACAAAATTTAACTAGTTAAACA